ATACAACATAAGCTGGTCTCACAAGTGTCTTGTAAACTTTTCCTGTGACCTTTGCTGACACCCTTTTGTCACAAATCACTCCTGAAACTTTTCTCCATCACTCCATCCTGCCTGGACTCTCTTCTTCACCTCTTCACCATGTTCCTGGACAGTGGACCCCAAGTCCATGAAGTCCTGCACCTTTGTGACCTCTGCTCCTTGTGGCCTCACTGTTCCACCTCCTCCCTCTCATTCACACATGGACTCTGTCTTGTTATGGCTGCCAGAGGCTTGTTAATGGAGACAAAAATCCTGAAACATTTACCCAAATATCAGCAAAATCCCATCATTAACATCCGTTTATGTACCACACTGTTTTAATCTAAATCAAATAACATCAAGGACCGGGTTGAGATGATTAAAGGTCCACTTTGGGGAGCTGAGGGAACTCTGGTCTTACAGCCGATTAATAAAAATCAATTACTTCAACCACTGCCAATAAAAATGATATAAAACCTGCAGTCATTGCTGACAGAACTTCCAAAGATTTTCTGTAATACATAAACTGGCGTCCTGCTTGGGAAGAGTGATACTGACCCGGTTCATCTTAATGATGATGCAGGGTTGTCCTTCAGAGTATCCAAAATTTGGATCCGGCAGACCGGAGCACTGACGCAGAATACTGCGTTTGAACTGGCAAACCTTCTTTACGGGTTCATCGTCCTGCTCCGTGTATTCACCCACCAAACACAAGTCATTGCTCTCCTGGACTTCATCGTTGTACTCTGGAAAAGAAACAGGAAATGAACAAGAAGTCATTTTCATTTTAGCTCCGTAACGTGCCGCTGTTTGAATGAAACGACTTCCTGTCGCAGGCAAAGCCGGGAGCCAATCAGCATGCAGCATCTCTGCGGAACACGCGTGTTCTAAAAGCACGTTAGCGTGTTTGTGCCCGCGCTTCACTCACTCTCCAGGAACTTGTCCAGCTGTTTCACATAATCCTTGTACATTGCTGGGTCTGTGCGATTGTAGAAGATCTCAATAGCATGTGGACGAATCACCACACCTGAAAACAAACAAATCAATAATGTGGTTATTTGTACGTAAATATAAATCTACGTTGATCTGAACGTAAATGCACTGGAAGAGGAAGGGTCGCGTCACCTGGATCAGCCAGACGGTCTTGATGTTGTGGAACATTTTCATTCAGAGTTTGTAACATCACCCACATGGTCAGAGAAAACATTCCCGCCAAAAATCCATAAAAGATGAAGTAGAAGAGGAGGATTAGGCCTGAAATAAATAAATAAATACATCTGTATTTATTAACAGGCGATGAAACCACCAGGCCAATCAGAACACTGGTAACGTAAAGAAACGCTGACCCTACTGTCGCTAAGTTAGAGCTGGAGTTACAACTACTGCCTCTTTTATATTAAAATGAACTTTCCCCCCGGAGATCAACATGTTTGCATTTTAGCCACTAACTACAACAGCTGGGTTTAGTTCATCCAGACCAGGCTCACATCTCCAAGGCAACCAGGACAGAGATTACAGCAAGTTCTGGGTCTGCCCCAGGTCTCTTCCCAGTGAGACGTGGCCAGAAAGCTCTCCAAAGCCTCTGATCTGATGTCCAGGAGGAGGCATCAGATCAGATGAACCACCTCATTTGATTCCTGTTGATGCAGAGGAGCAGCAGCTCTGAGCTCCTCCAGATGACTGAGCCAACGCAGGATGGGTCACCATGACCACAAGTGAGAGCTGGAACAGCGACAGACCAGTGAATCCAGAGCTCTGCCTTTAAATTCAGCTCTTTCTTCACTACGACCGACCGAATCAACGCCCTCATTACTGAGGACGAGGCCCAAACCCATTGATCCATCTCCTGCTCCATCCTACCATCACTCAGGAACAGGACACCCAGGTACTTAAACTCCTCCACTTGAGGCAGACTCACCCTGGACCCGGAGGGGGCATTCCACCTTTTGTGGGTCCAGAACCAAGGCCTCGGACTAAAAGGAACCACTTCACACTCACCTCTTCAATGCTTCTTGCTGACCGTCATGACTGAAGATGTCAGCAGAACCACATCGTCTGCATAAAGCAGAGACGAGATGCTGAGGCCCCCAACACCCCCTCCAAGACTGACATCCTGTCCATGGAGACCTACAGGATCAGAGACCCTGCGTCCATCTGCACTGAGAACGAGCTCGACTATGTGCCATGAATGCAGACACGGGACGGGCCCCATACTCCCACAGCCCCCCCACAGATCGGCTCTGACAGTCCAGTTAAATAATCCACACCAGATTGATAATCTGGTTTAATGAAATTGATTAATTTAGCGCCAACACAAAATGGCTAATCCAAACAAACTTTATTTATCTCTTTATTAAGAAACAAACTTTTACCACAAATAACAAAAAAAGAAAAGGATCAAAACCGGTTTTTAAAGTAAATGATACATAATTATTAGATCAATCAGTTTTTATTTTAATATGTTTAAATGATTTTCAGCTCCTGGTCTTCATTTTACATGCTGCTGTCAAAAAATAGAGATTCATAATAATAATGATAACAATAATAATAATAATAATAATAATAATAATAATAATAATAATAATAATAATAATAATA